TGGTTGTTGGCTCTGCTGTAAAACTGGAAGGGAGGAGGACATTCCTCTCTGTAGCTGCAAAACAGCACAGCATCTCTGCGTTGTCTCCTGATCAGAACACCTCCTGTTTCAAACCAGGGATGGGAAAGCAACAATGAGGGCCTTCTGAGTCTCAGGAATGTTGCTGAGGGCGCACAATCTTGACCGATTGTGAAACGTGGCCAGTCAAGGGGTGGGACTCTTCCACTCTAAGCACAGCCACATGCCCAGTCTTCAGTTTGATATCTCAGCACTTTCTGCGTCCTTCAAGAGCCAAGTTAGGCATGTGGTTTGTGTTGAGCTAGGAACATAAGCCTCTGCTGGTCTCCTCGCTGCTTTTCTTAGAAACGGCACCCTTCCCACACAAGTGAAAACAAAATGATCAAACCTACAAATTTAGCATGGATTAAAAAATTATAATGCAACCAAAAAGTGGGTGCAAGTCGGGGAGACGAAGCTGATGTGGAAAAGAAGTGGTACTGCCCTTGCCATTGGTCAGAGTCCCAGGAGACTTCCAGGTACTGGTGAGCAAACCACAGGAGCAAGGCAACCTTCTCCAGAGGTCACTCGAATGGTTAAAAGCCCAGACAGAGGAACTGCCATCGGAACTCATGCTGAAAGCTTCATGAGGAAACTGGGAAGAGTTCTTATCTGTGACGAGTTGCATATGTGTGTTTTGCATGTGTGTATATGTCATGCATCTATAAACATAAGCATGTGGGTGCATGTACACAAATACCTGCATAGTTTTCTAGTCTTTCCTCTGAACTCTCAAATTGTTAAGAGCATAGACAATGAAACAGTATGTTTCTCTTTGACATTTGTTATAAGGTAGTGGTTCTCAAAACCAATTGTGTACCAGACTTCCCTAGGAAGCATTTAAAAAAATACAGATTTTGTGCCCCCATCCCAGATGTACTGAATCAGAATGTCTCCCCTGTGACGGACATCTGGGAACCAACAGTGTTTGGTATGTGGGACAAGAGCTGTACAATCCAGGACAGCATGCCTGCTTGTGGCTCCAAGGCTTTGCCTAAAAGAAAGCCTGATGTTTAAGATAAGGAGTTCAAAATACACTGTTTGGGGACCCTTCTGAATTTCACTGCCCTTCCATTCAGCTTGTAGCAGGAAGCAGCGCCCTTGGGGATGAAGGCTGAGCCCCAGGTTCCAGTGGAAACCAATCCTCCCTGAAGTCCTCTGGTAGGTTCCTGGCAGAGCTTGAGCTTTCTAAAGAGGAGGGTAGGCTTCCTCCTGCCCTGAGGGGTCTCTCCCCTTTCACCCAAGTAAAACTAATGAAACTAACATTTATGGAGCACACACTATGCCCCAGGCTTTGAGCCAAGTGCCTTCACTGAACTGTCACAAGACTATAGGAGGAGCTGTCGTTATCTCCATTTGGCAGATGAGAGAACTGAGGCTTGTCCACAGCTACAGAGTGGTAAGGGACAGTCAGAAAGAAGCCTAGGCCACCGGATTCGGATGCCCAAGTGTTGGACCACTGAACACTAGGCCTTCCAGCCAACTCTGCCACGTGGCCCACACAATAAAACGGGGATGAGTATATAAAGAGAGAATGACTTTTAGTCTTCACATGAATTTCATGACCCAATAGGAGGGTGTTCTTTGGCATAATGGGCTGCTGTGGCAGAGAAAGAGGAAGCGAGAGGAAATATAGGCCAAATATGTGGAAATGTGTATGTTGCTTCTTTGTTCTCATGATACCAATTCATTTCCAGTGGGGGATTGGAATAATTGCTTAATGTGGGTGATTAAGGCGCCAAGTGCTGCCTCTGTCACTAAGCACAGTGAAGACAACCCCACACCTGAGGTGCAGCGCCCCAGCCTTTCCCAACCCCGCCCATTCCCACCTCACCAGAGCCCTCCCGGCTCTCTGATATTGTGTAAAATGTATTCTCGGCTGGGAGGGGAGGCTGGGAGAGATGTGTTGCTCATGGCTCATCAAAGCCTTTCCACCCACAAGTACATCTTCTGCATTTATGGAAAGCTCTGCTTTTCAGCCCCTTTCCCAGTCACTTCCACATTAATTAGTAAGGGTATCATTTTATAAATTACAGCTTCGTATCAGAGGAAAGCAGAGTTTATCTTAATTCAGTCAGCTGTGTGAAATGCAGTACCCTAATTTTAGACCGCCAGCTCTGCAGATCCCCGCGGAGTAAGAGAATGACAGGTCTTCCAGAGAGAAGTCCCAGTGGGTGCCCTACAAGTCTCACTTCTGCCTCCAACAGCATCCCTGGTGGGGCTGCTGACGGGATCCCAGGACACTGAGTGGCATCTTTTCCACCATTAGCAATTCAGATTTGAGTGGGAATTCTCCAAGGGGCACATGAAAGCAGCCCGGTTAGCTGTGGGGCTCCGAGAGGGCCCAGGCAGGAGGCTCTGGCACAGAGGAGGCTGACAGGGCCCGGGCTCTGGCACAGAGCACAAGTCTGGGGGGATGGTATTAAAGCCAGTGATAAACACTGGACAATCCCAGTCCAAAAGGGGAGCCTGATAGTCTTAACTATCACAGGGCGAGCAGGCATGGCTGCAGTTTAAGAGTCCCAATTGCTCCTGTCAGGAGCCCTGGGAGGAATGCCCCGGGGAGGGGAGCAGCGACAGGTGAAGTGAGTGTGGTTGTGGAGCAGCTCCCAGGTAAGAAGAGACCTGCAGGGCCACCACAGTCCACAAGAAAGACGACAGGAACGGGGTGGGGGGCAAAAGAGGCAGAAGTGTGCACAGGAGGGAGGATCAGTCCGAACGCCCGCCCCTCCCCTGCCATCTCCCCACTCCCACGGACATGCCTATATACATCTCCTTATTCTCCTGCATTGTCCTTAATTGCCCTGAACTGAGTGGTGGGCACTACCCACAGTCTGGTCTCATAGACTGAAGCCCGAACAGCAATGACTTGGGAATCTGGTCCCCGGGAGGATTAGTTTGCAGTAGGTGGAAACACCCGGATCCCTCTGAAAGCCAGGGGCAGCCTTGGTAATTGCCCAAATGACCCGTTAGCTGATTGTCTCGAGGAGTGGTGCTGAAACCTGGAGGACTCTGAGGTCGGGCCTGGAGGGGCCCAGGCGTGGGGATTTCACAGCTTCCCCGTGATCGGGTGTGCCGCCAGGTTGAGACTGCCTATGAAGACATGCACACGGAATGCAAAACCAGACATCCTCACCACCTCTACCACTGCTGGTAGGTGACGCTTCCGGAATTCACAGCGCCTTGCAAGGGGCTGTTGAGAACCCGAGCAGGCTCATCCCCTTGGAGAAGTGCCACCACCTTGGACAGAGAGGCCCACCATCACTGCGGAAGAGCCGCTGGAATGGCAGCAGGTACTTGTCCTGCCTGCTGCCTGTGGTGACACCTGCCACGTGGGATGTGGCCCGACGGCTCCAAGGGCTGGTGGGCACGCCTTGAACACTGCCCTCCATGCTGCCCATGCGCCTCTGGCACCCACTACACACTGGCGCCCGAGACACCAGGAGACTGGCTTCGAAGCAGCTCGTACTCTGGGGGCTGGAGTAAGGAAGCTCCTAGTTGTCAGTTAAACAAAAGACTAGTCCACAGCCCCCTTTGCAGCGTGTACTTTCGCTGTCATCCAACAGCCCATTACCATGTCACAGCACAGCACACCCTTCCATAGGTCACTTTGTTTAAAATGACACGGATAATGCACATGTCAGCAAGCTGACAGTCCTGGCCGTCCTTCAGAGATAAAAACCTCAGGGCGAGAGCCTGTTCTTATCTGGGGACACGCATTGGTCTATCATCCAAGTCAGGCAGAACATGATTTCTCCAGAGAGCACTTTTTTCATTTCCTGATTTTAAGGAAATCAAATAAGCACCATTTGTCTTCATCTGAATATGCTTGACCTGCTCAAATGATGATGTCTCGCATTTTATAACAGGCTACATATGCTGAATTCAAATTAACAACAGCACAGAACAAGAGCCTTCACATCTCTCTCGGAGGCTGGCAGCAGAGGAGGAGGGCGAGTCTGGGCTGATGGAAAGATCCCAGTAAACGCTAACTGCAGATGCTGAATAAAATCAGCAAGCAGGTAGGAGGAGATGGAAAATGGGGCTCAGGGACGCCGGCTCCGCAGGACAGATCCAGAAACTGGGGAAGGGAAGGGAGGACCAGCAGTTCCTTTGGGCGCCAAGTAATAGACAAACCATAATATTCAGGTAACTTGTGGAAATACATAAAGTTGGAATAAAACTGGAAAGAAGTTGGGTTGGGGGATGTGAATACCTAGGAAGAAAGACCAAACAGACAAACCATCCCTATGCTTCAGGCAGCAGGAAGTTCACATTACCAGGCCGTGGTCCAGTCTTCTGAGAGCTCAACCCAGAGCTCCCCTTCCTCACCCACGCGGAACCGGATACACCGAGGCTGGTGGCCATCAGCCTCGAAACAGAGTGCGCCTGCTGGAAGAACTGCCCTCCCACCTGGCCATCCACCTGATGGGAGAGAGCAGCTCCCCTCTGACCGCCTCTGCTCACCCCTCGCCCCAGGATGACATTCCTAGAAACATTACCATTGCCATCTCCATCGAGAAGGCCCATATGCACAGACAAGCAGGAAGAAGCATATGGGCCAGTAAGATAAATGAAAACATGACATTATAAATACATACTAGCACATTTAATGTTCCAATCAAGGATTAAAAAAGAAAAATCAGATGGCTATTAAAATAAATCATTTCCTCTTTTGAAATCTTTTATAATGTGAAAACTTAGTGTCACATATGTGCACTATTAAAGGGCTTATTTTAAAAAAGTGGACCTCACAAATTAGTTGTTATTTCTTATCATAGAAAACATCACTATGTGAATAAAACCTGACTTTACAGAAGAGAAAGGTGCTGCCCCCATGAAGCTGGTACCCCCCCCCCCACCATCCCCTGCGGCGTGTGTGGGAGAACCATGGTGTTCAATGTCTATGTACTGTGCCCACAATTGGGGGCGGGGAGTCTTACCTTCTCTTCTTGGTCACTGTCGCTGTCACACTGAAAAAGAAAACAAGAGAATGAGGGTTAGTGCAAAAATGGAGTAGGTTTTTGTCTTTAATACAGAAAACAAAAGCAAGACCAATGAAGGAAAAAGGAACGTGGTCTGAGCTGGGTGGAGATTCTTTGGCCCCAGTGCTGGTAAACGGGTAAGAAGCAGGATGCCGAGCAGCTGCCCGCTGTGTCCTCTGTGCCTGTGCTCTGTGGCTCTCCTGTGGGCAGTCTGGTGTATGCTCATCACCCAGTGAGCCCTCCCCTATTGCATGGCAGAGGGGATGCCCAGCGGGAGCCAAGCCGGCCCAGGGTTAAGGTGAATCAAGATCATTTGATGGGATTGAGAGCAAAATCAATTCTTTAATGGAGACCTTCTACCTTCTATTGTCAATGGCTGTCTCACCCCTGGTGCTTTTCTAGAAGAAAAGCGGTAAACTGCTGGGCACTGCATTCTCTCATTTGGACTGGAAAGGAATAGAGCATAATGGGTGAGGCTCACCACTGGGAGGCTGCCTTTTCCAGAGAACAGAGGGAATGTTCTCCATAAAATACATGCCAAGGATAGAGGTCAGGGTACCAAATCAACAATATGAGCCCCCCAAAAAGTTTTAGGACAGCAGACTCACTTGCACCATGTCTAACAGATCCCACGTGCCAACTGTTGAGCTGGGTTTGGGATAACCAGGAATGATAATTAACTCAAAGGGAATAAAGAATACAATTTTTAAAAAAAACCAAGAATGTTCTTCTTTTTTTTAAAGGGACATGTTTTTTTTTTAAAGTAAATGCACAGCAGATAAACAGTTCATTCACTCAAATGCCTTTGATAAGCACGGCGGACGTTTAAAGAAGACACAGGGATGTCTGTCCCTAAGGTAGCTTTCAGTTTAGCTGTCCAGTCACGCACCATGGAGTGACCAGGATATGTTCTGAGAAATATGCTGTTTAGTGATGTAATTGTTGTATGAACATCACAGAGTGCGCTTACAGAAACCTGGATGGTAGAGCTTACTACACACCGAGGCTACATGGTCTAGCCTACTGCTCCCGGGCTACTGGCCTACACAGCATGCTTCTGTACAAAACAACACGAGGTTAAGTCAAGCACAGGAGAGAAGGAGGCACTCAAGAGAGGCAGGAAACATGAGCTGTATGAGGCTGAGGCTGGGATAACACCACATACTGTTTTTCAGCAAACTTTTTTTTATAAGAGAAAGAATACACCCTGAAATAATAATGAAAAAGATAGGAAATACATCAACCCATAACACAGTCGTAATTATTGTCAAGCATTATGTACTGCACAGAATTACACTTCTATAGGACTGGCAGTGCAGTAGGCTTGTTTGCGTAAGCATCTCCACAAAGACACCAGTAACGAGTGGCACCACGATGTTACAACAGCTGCAACGTCCCTCGGTGATAAAAATTTTTGAGCCCCACTACAATCTTGGGGGACCACCGTCATATGTGGTGGTTGACTGAAACACTGTTGTGGTGCATGACTGCAGAAATAGAGTTAGAACACAGACTCTGAGCAGGGGGTGCATGATCAGAGCTATGTTCTATTAAGATGACGCTTCCCACGGTGGAGGAGAGAGTGCACTGTGGGAGAAGCCGGGTCATGGGGACACCAGTTTGGCAGCCATCACACTGTCTACACCAGCAGGGCGCGTGGTTTGAGAAAGAGATGAACAGATGGTAGAGCAATTCTGAAGGTAGAACCAACAGGACTTGATAACACATGGATATGGGAAGCAAGTCAGAGGGATGAGTGGAGGATGCTGCCAAGGATTTTTAGTGTGGCCACCTGGATGTGGGAGTTGATGCTGCTATGAACAGACACAGAAAATAAATTTGCTTATACAGCAATCACTACTGGCTAGATACCCACAGCCATTCACAATCCCTTCTCTTAGTCTGTACCTTCTCCTGACATTTGGAGAATGAAAAAGCCAGATATTCTCTCTTTTCTAACTTTCCTTGCAGCTGAGGGTGGCCACAGATACATTTTTGGCTGAGACTTGAGAAAATGTCTGCTGACGGTTCTGGAAACATTTTCTCACCTCAAAAGAGGAAGAAAAGCAGAAGCACTTGCCTCTTGCCTTTGAACATGACTGCCTGAGGAAGTGATGTCTGGATCTGGGGCAGCCATCTTGCAGATATGAGGCAAAAGAACCAAGTACAAAAACAAGATGATGGGGCCAAAGGAAGAAAAACCCTGGCACAATTGAGCCACCTGAACAACCCTCAGAGCAGCCCACCTCTGGACTTATTTGTTCAGATAACAGGTAAGTTATAGTATTGAAACCATAATTGAAAATAACCTCACCCCATCCAAAGGGACATGTTGGTATTATAAGACACACTGTGGAGACTGCTTCCTCTTCCCAGCCTCAGCTGTCTGTACTACCAGCACTTAGGGGCTCACATCACAGCCGTGCGGACTGAAGGGCTGTCACATTTTATTTTCCACTGGCCCCTCACTGCCATAGGCTTACCCGAGTTCTAGTGACAGCGCTGTAACCAAGTACATCTGAATCACTTTCAACCAAGCTTTCAACCTCAGATGGCCTAAGCTTACTCGCTTTTGCCTGATGAGTGGATTTCTCTATTGTAAAAAGTCAAATGAGCTGAGCAAGAAAATGGTGACATAGCGACTTTGAAGGCCTAGAACAGTGGTTCTCAACCTTCCTAATGCTGTGACCCTTTAATACAGTTCCTCATGCTGTGGTGACCCCCAACCATAAAATTATTTTTGTTGCTACTTCATAACTGTAATTTTGCTACTGTTTTGAATCGTAATGTAAATATCTGATATGCAGGATGTATTTTCATTGTTACAAACTGAACATAATTAAAGCATAGTGATTAATCACAAAAACAGTATGTAACTATATATGTGTTTTCCAATGGTCTTAGGCGACCCCTGTGAAAGGGTCGTTCGACCCCCAAAGGGGTCGTGACCCACAGGTTGAGAACTGCTGGCCTAGAACAACAGACAGATGAGGAACAGTTCTCTTGATGGTGTGCTTTTCCCATTGCCTTTAATTAAGCCTTCCTTGAGGTTCCCAAGTTCTGGGCACATTTTCAAGGGTGACAAAGCATGATTGGGTGGGGGGGTGGAAGAGGGACGAGGATTTGGCCAGGCAGGCTCATTTTCCCAGCTGTTCACAGCCACCTTGTGAGGTAAGCAATGACCGCTGACGGCTGAAGCACAGAGGGAGTGGGGAGGTCGGGAAAGAACTCCAGTGTCCACAACGCCCCCCATCCTAACAGCAGTGTGTCCCTGGGAATGGGTACTTCTATCAAAGTGTTAAGCTTCCTGCTTTCCAACGGTCCAGTTCTAATTTCAAGGTCCACTTAATTCCGCATCAAGTAATTACTGATATACCCAGAAGCACCTTGTCTCCAGAGCTAAGCATATGGTGGGGAGCTGAGACCTACTGGTATCCATTATGGAAGCAGCACGGATGCCAAGCCGATTAAAAATGCTCAGGCTCCCCACGCAACACGCGGGTGAGTGACAGCTCCTCGACGAGGCCAGTCGCAGAGTCTGCCAAAACAGTCTCTGCTGCGCGGGGGCCCACATGGTGCGCTGAGAAAACAGTTCCATTTCTGGTATTAAATTCCCACACTGACCCGAGGACTTTGCCGTGAGCTCAGCAGGAGCGCGCCATCCAATTTACAGCCTCGCTCTCTGGAGCCTCGAGTGCCAGCCCCTGGCAGAGACGAATGATGGTCAACCCCTCCAGCTCATAAATTATGCAAAGGCAATAAATGCACTCAGCAAACAGCGCCTAACGTTTGCCTAGCCTGGCTCCTAACACACTCTGTAAAAAGCCAGGAGCTCGGCACATACAAGAGGTCTATTCCACTCATAAAGGGGGTTTGTTGACAACTCCAGACGGAAAGCCAGCCATGGGCCTAAGGAGTCTTTCTGCTTCGCTGGCAGCGGTTTATGGGCCTGCTTTATGAAAAAGGGAGGCTGTTTTATAGAGTCAGTGTGGGGAGAATTCATGGTCTCAAATTCACATTTAATACACTGGGCAGCTTTCAGACCCTAAGTTCCATACTTGGTGGATTTTCGGCCAAATGATTCTTGGTCTTGAAAGGTTAAAAGAAGAAGTGTCTGCTCCCCGATCCCTAGGTACCCACTCCAATTTATCAGAGTTCACACCGAGCCACCTCCTCATTCAGGTGTATGTTCTGCATGAGGCTGGGAAATGGAAAAGGCATGTCAAATGCAGAAACGGGGTCCCAGCTGGTTTGGCCAGTCTAAGCATTTTGACATCGAGGTCCTGCACTGGTTTATTAGCAAATAGGTTGCACACTAACGACCAGCTCGAGGTGACAGAGGACTCCCCATGACTAGATTTCAAAGCCCTTTGTGCAAAGCTGAAAATATTTTCCTGCATTTTAAAAGCAAGCAGTGAAAAGGAACAACCAGCCCTTATACTAACCCACCCAGGGAAGAATTCTTGGTCACTCAGTCTTCAGACAAAGATTCCACCCAAACCCACCACAGACAAAAGAGGGAAACGAGGTATGGGATCCAAACCACGTGCTTCAAATGCAGAATTAGAAAGGGACTAGTTCCTCACCTGAGTGCACGCAGCCATTCCAACACATCACCATGCACTTCATCGTCCCCTTCCTCCCGCCAGCTTCACAAATTAGACCTGAACCTTCGGAGGCACCTCCTTCCTCTCCCAGACATGTAACATCCCCCTTAAACTCTTCAATCAACCAATAAACCAACTAACCCACCCACCTACCTAATAGTTTTTCCTTTAAAAAATTAATGCATATTTATTGACTACATTTTAAAAAGTCACCCACCAATCTGCCATCCATAGACACTGTCAACATATTTGTACAATTCTTTCCAGTCTTCTCCATCCTTTCCCTTCTTCACGCACACACATTTTAGGAAATGAAATCCTAATATTTTGTAACCTGTTTTGTTTTTGCATAATATGCCAAATACTTTAGTTTCATGAGTA